CCAATATCTATTATTAGGGTTAGATTTATTGATACCTATATTTATAGTATTCTTATAGTGGCGGACTAGTGCACCCGCGGACTAATGGACCCCTCTCGAACAGTGCAGTGAAGGCTTACGACCGCCCGCCGGGTCCATTACTTGAATTGATATATACGTTTGGATTTTTTCAAATGCCTATAAGTATATTCCGTGTATATTATGTGCCTTGCCCACAAATTTGTGTTGTGCAATTGTTTATGTGTGGGGCAACTCTTACTAAAAGAATAAATGAAAAAATTAAATTTATACAAATACTAATATAGGATTAAGCTGTGATTATGTGTGGGTGTTCCAGTCCTCCTGCATTTACTGATAGAATAACAGAAAAATTGAATTCTTGTAGTCAAATTATTTAAACAGGATTAAGTTGTGAGAAATTTGATATTTTCCACACAATGCATATCGTGCATCGTTACTTTAAACTACTGACACACATATAATCATTTTTCGTGTCTTTTCCGTCGCCACCATGCTTCTAACTGTTCTTAATTTATCACACTCACATCCAGAAATTTACCAATATGCATAAAAAATGCCCCGAAGTATCTATCAATCTGTCCATTTCGTTTGTGTATGGAAATGACATCTGAAACCCAGATCGACGTTTTAATCTTACAGTCAGTGTCCTGCATCATCAGCTGTCTAATGGTAAAAACTTATGTCACTGCCAAGGGTATTAGATATTATCTTTATCAGATGTCATCAATCAAAATGACTTCACACATGGAAAGTTCATGATAGTCAACAAGTCGTTGGACAAATTGCAGGAATCTTCGGTCTACCTAACACCGCCCACTGACCCACGTGTTCGCTCCAGGATAAGTACATTAAAGGGTAAACAACTCTAATGTCACTATCTGTAAGGTTACTAGATTATCTCCCACCCCTCGATAAGAATATCAAAGGGTCAACAACTCTAATGTCACTATTTGTAAGGTTACTAGATTATCTGCCACCCGTCGATAAGCACATCAAAGGGTCAACAACTCTAATGTCACTATCTGTAAGGTTACTAGATTATCTGCCACCCCTCGATAAGTACATCAAGGGGACAACAACTCTAATGTCACTAGATTCAACAACTCTTAAGGTTACTGATTAACTGTCACCAAAAGATAAGTACATGTACATCACAGGGTCGACAACTCTAATGTCACTAGACTATTTGCCACCGAAGGATAAATACATCAAAGTGTAAATACCTCTAATGTTACCAGATTTTCTGGTATCACATTTATTTGGTATTAGGCCAGTGGCGTGTCTACGATGGCATGTAGGGCATGTGCCCAGGGCGCTACTTGAAGGGGGTGCCACTGAGAGGTTCCATTCTCCTGCATAAGCTATATACAACACATACTTGCGGGCCCGACCTTCATTAGCCCAATAGAAGCAAAACAGTAGGACGTTAAACCTCATTCATTTCATTTCATACTCATGGACGAATAAATTAGTAATTGTTTTCCATAGTTTATAGCACACTTCATTATCCCGGTCAGTGAAGAAAACTAAAAGTCATTAACCCTTATTTCGTTTTCCTTCCTCTGTGATTCTTTAAGAGAAACCTGCTGAAACTATTGATTTGTTAATTGCATTAATATAATTAATATTCCAACCTAATTTGATTATAGCCCGGACTGGAATACCTCTGTTGTCTATTGTTTATTAATATGCGGGGGGTGGATGGCTGTGCGTGGTTGTATTAATCGTACTCTAATATTTTCATAATCATGAAATAAAATGATATAGTAGGACAAATAAACAGAAGTCTCTGTTGGATGGCTGTGTGTGGTTGTATTAATTGTACTCTAATATTTTCATAATCATGAAATAAAATGATATAGTAGGACAAATAAACAGAAGTCTCTTGATGTTGATAGAGCACGTTCCTTTGGGAATCATTGTGGTGCATGTGTGTGTTGGGGTGTGGGACGAGAATAGCGTTTGGTGCAGAATAGTAGGATGTGAAACTCCTATTCATTTCATTTCATTTCATTTATAAAAATAACAATACGTGCCACGATGGCTAAGTGAGTAAGATGCTGGCGCTCGCTAGCCTGGAGATCGTCGAGAAAGTTCATGGGGATTTTCCGACGTGGTTTACCCTTGTCAGTGGTGTAGAACGGAGTGCCTGACAAGGATAGCTGTCTAGTCCTTCGGATGGGACGAATAACCGCGGTCCCGTGTACACATTGGCGTGCACGTAAAAGATCCACTGACAGTTGGAATTCGATATAAGAGTAAGCCGGGCTAAATGTCCCTCATAGCACACTGTATGGCGTATGCTCGTCTTCATTAGCCCAACCGGATCAGAACAGTAGGACGGTAAACTCCATTTCATTTCATTTCACGTAGATATATAACTGTATGGTGTATATATGCACGTCGTTATTATCTCTGTTGGGACTAGAAAGTAGGACATTGTATTTCACGTCAGTAATTGGACTATGGTTAACCAATGTTCTAACTTCTAGCACTGACCCTAGTTTGTCAAGACTATTCCTGATTGATGAAACTTCTAAACCAATTATCAACCAAACGCAAGTGACCGTGGTGTGGCTGCTGTTCATAATTTGTAACTTTTCGGAAACATTAAATTGTACTCTAAACGCTAAAATGTACTTATTTAACTAAGAAACAAAATCAAAACGATAGATAAAATATTTGTTATTCAGTAAAAATCCAGGGGCCTGTTTCACGAAATTTTAACTAAAATAAAATCCAAATTTTAGTAATTTGATTGGATAATATTAGACTGATTGTAGTGCTTAGCCAATCAAAATTGAAGTATCTACTAAAATTTGGATTTTATCTTTAGTTAACAATTCGTGAAACAGGACACAGTGATATAATATATTTAGATAAAATTTAGGGGCGTTTTGACTTAGCTTAATTTTGGCCGTTTTGGTAATGCTAGGTTCCCACTATCACGATTCGTGCTACGATTGAAATGGTGGTTTTAATCGTGGGGTACCCGTGGTGATCCTATCAGGTCTTAGGAGGGCCTGACAAATACAGCTGTCTAGTCGTTCGGATGGAATAAAAAAAAACGAGGTCCCGTGTACACATTGGCGTGCACGTAAAGTATTCTCTGACAGTTGGAATTCGATATAAGAGTAGGCCGTAGTGCCACTATCCGGGAAAAATTTCCCTGAAAACAACACACTGTATGGCGTATGCCCGTCTTGATTGGCCCAGTCGGAGCAGAACAATAGGACGTTAAACCCATTTCAATTCCATTTCCTGTTACAAAATATCGACACCATAACTAAAAGTTCTAAATTGATTCTGAATATTATGATTTTTTTTCACATTAATCATCCCTTTCTAATATTTTTCTAATTTTCTCGATTTGTTGGTTTGGCTGTGATTTTTTGTCTCCTTGATTGTAAAATAATTTATAACTTATTCAAATACACTATTAATATAATATTCCCGCGTGTACTGGGATGAGCGATTGACACAGAATGAATGCTAAGTATCAATTAATTATTTTCATCATTAAATAGCCATTAGAGAGATGTTTTTGATCAAAAACTATCGGCTGTTTAATTCATCATTTAGAACATCGGTCTAGTCCAATATTATGGAAGACCAAACAGCTCTTTATTCAGTGTTCTTAATTCTTAATTCATAGTCCTTAAAGATACATTATGGGAGATTCGATAGATAACGAGTTGGCAATTCTCACTATAATAGTTAAAAACTAGATAATGTAAAGACAATTTTCTGAAAATTTCATTCAAATTGATCCACTATGGTCTGGATAGGTTTATTAATGTCTAATTAATAGATTAGATAACATTTCAGGCCTAAAGAAAGACCTGCAATAGGCAGATTTAGCTCTTGCATAATGCATGTTTAATTCTTATTTCTCCATTTGTTGTCGCATTTCGACATTTAAACAACATTTTAATTTAGAATATTTTTTTGATTTACTAAAATGATTTTTATCTTTATATTAAAATAAAATTAAATTAAACAAAAATACATTTTACAAATCTGATATGACAAATGTCTATTTTGTAAAACAAATATGGTTTTTAAGATACAAATGTTAATTTTATTATACAAATGTCGAAATACGACAACAAATGAAGAAATAAGAATTAAGGATTATGAATTAAGAAATAAGGACTAACAAAACTGAATAAAGAGCTGTTTGGTCTTCCATACAATATCTCATTTTATATTTTCCATTGGAACAGCATTGAAATCTTCTTTAAATGGAAATTTCATAACCCCTTTTGTATACACGAAACGGGAGAGGGAGAGAGTGAGAGAGAGAGAGAGAGAGAGGGAGAGAGAGTTAGAGAGAGAGATGGGGTTAACCATCCACACAACACCAACTAGGCAATTTCGGGACTAAAATATGGTTTATTTTTATAGGCGGATTGGGTCTCAAGAGATGGAAGGAAACGGAAGAACCCGATAAAAAAACACGAGGTTAAACAGGTAACCCTACTCACACCACGTGTTCTTAGACAACAAGTACGATCGTACCATGGAGCAGGAACTAACCAGGTTGTTGGATGAAATTCAAAAATCTAATTCATTATATCGATGCAGAATTGTTCAAAGAAGAAGCTTTGAAATTTGAAGTAAGATTAGGCCGTAGCGCCGCTGTCCAGGCAAAATTTTCCTTATAGCACGTGGTAGGGCGTATATCGTTTTTATTAGCCCAGTCGTATGACGTTAAACCCCATTTTACTTTGCACAGTGTAAAACATAATATATATATATATATATATATATATATATATATGTAACACATTCAGGACACACACACACGGACCCTCGGTTTTTCGTCCCATCCCAACGACTAGACGCTGTTCGCCTTGCTTGAAAAATTAAAAGGAAAAAAAAAAACTATTAATAATATTCGTATAAGGACCGTAGACGGCCACATATTAACTAATAAAAATAAGTTTATTGTATATTCTATAATTAAGATATATTACCTATGATCTATATGACGTCAGACGTTTTGATAAATATGTCTGTCTGGTGTCACGACAGTTTCACAAAAATCATCATTCTGAAAATATAGAAACATTTTTATCTAAAGATCTGGAAACAATTTGATGAAAATTGGTCTGTGGCAGACGATCAACTGATTAGCAGCAGTCGACTGTAAAATGTATTATAACACTGAGTCGAGAACTAGTTCTTGGATATTCAATCGGCATTCTTCGATAAATTCCGATAATTCCTGAAGTGACTGGATTTATCATCGGACATCTTACAGTCGGAGATGTTCAATCGACACTTCGAGTACGGCATCATTACACCGATTAAACTCTACTGTACACTGGGGACTGATATTAAATACGTTAGTGCGTTTTTCGCTGAACTGAAATGAAATGGGGTTTGAAGAGAGAAATGAAATGGAATGAAATGGAGTTTAACGTCCTACTGTTCTGCTCCGAACTGGGCTAATGACGACGGGCATATGCCATACAGTGTGCCATACTGTGTGCTATGGGGAAATTTCGCCCGGACAGCAGCGCTACGGCCTACTCTTATATCGAAATCCAAGTTCCAAGGGATCTTTTACGTGCACGCCAATGTGTACACGGGACCTCGGGCTTTCGTCCTATCCGACCGACTAGACAGCTGTCCTTATCAAGCATTCCGTACTGCATCACTGACAACGGGGAAGCACGTCGGGAAATTTGGATGAACTTTCACGGTCAATGCAGGGATCGAACACCCGACCTACAGGCTAGCGAACCAGCGTCTTGCCCACTTGTTCAGAGAGAGATAGACCGAGAAATGTGGTTTCACGTCCGTAACGCCGCATTTAGTGCCCAAATTTCACTCTTTAAGTTAGTATGTATCACAAAATATACTCTTCAAGAGCATGCCACGACGAATTGCTGAATGTCCGAGGATTGGTGGAGCAATTACTCATTATTAAGACAAAAATCAAAAACGTCCATTTTCACTTTTAACAGTGTATCTCTTTGCGAGTAAAATGGGGTCGTCAGCTAAGCCGCCCATATGAACTGTTTCATGTGTAGGCAATTGGCCTGTTATTAACATACACTGGTTACCTCTAATAAAAACAGCAGTGCATTTCCGCAGTTTTGTATTGTTTCTGAATATCCCATACTTTTTTGGATGAGTATATAATCGATAGACCCGACACAACGCCTTATATTATTTCTAAATATAAAACATTCATTGTATAGGAATAGAGTGAGGAAATAACTGATAAACACGCAGGTCATATTTAATACATGTTATTTTGAACATAATATTGGTTAAAGTAGGCAAGCTGTAGTCCATACTTCATCACGGTATAAACAAACTTATAAATCAACTAGGTTATATTGTAAACACGAGAGAGAGAGAGAGAGAGAGAGAAGAGAGAGAGAGAGAGAGAGAGAGAGCGAGAGAGAGAGAGAGAAATGGGGTTTAACGTCCACTCGACACAAACTAGGTAATTTCGGGACTAACTTATGGTTCTATTTTATTTTAATAATTCGCTTGCGCGTAGGGGTGTTTAGCAGTGGGAGGGAACCGGAGGACCGGAGAAAACCCACGAAGTTGGACAGGCGACCCTACTCCTTGTCACGTACAACCGGGGAATCGAAACCACGCCAGTTGACGATGATAGACCTTATGATATAGCGCGCACGTGCTAACCATTCGGGCATCCACACCCCCCCCCCACCCACACCCCATCCCCCGGTCACATGATTCAACCTTCGAATGTACATCATGGGTTGGTGGAGTTCAGTAGGACGTTAAATCTCATTTCATTTCATTTTCTTATTCAAAATGTATTAAAGTATAATCGATACAACCATGCCACTATAAATTCGCTTCTGTAGGCAAATATACCGTTTTATAGAGAAATGGAAATATGACTGTTATGGATCACAATAAAGCAAGTAGTTGATATGACGACCATCAAAAAAACCGATAGAAATGAAATAAAAAGGTGTTTAACGTTCTGCTTTTCTACACCGACTTGATTAATGAAGATGGGCATATGACACACAGTGTGCTATGGGGGATTTAACTTCCACACAACATCTACGAAGTAACTCTACTCCCACGTGTCCTTAGACACAGGGTTTAGCATCCACACAACACTAACCAGGTTTACACGAGATAAAGTAGACACGCTGTAGCCTATTCTCCCATACTAAACTTAGGCTGCATGTCTAGTAAGCTCCGCTTTGGGAACAGACATTAAGCTAGTTGACCGACATTTTATTCGAAAACATTAAGTATACTTCGAGAACATTGTTACTAAAATGGAGCAAGTTTATTTAGTCTTTGTGTTTATGACAGATGAGTAGAAACGCATTTCGAAACAATATCCTAATTTTTGGATATGGTGGCCATTTAGGGCAGAGATCTATTCTCAAAGTATGAAGTAGACGGATCTCTGTGTGCAGAATGGTATTCTTCCTCACCATGTAAACAAACTTATAGTTTAACCAGTCTATATTGTAAACACACTCGTTGAATTTATTAAAGTGAAAATAAAATTTTCACGGCATAATCCACGTTAAATTGTACCCAAGTTGATTATTTAACATATAATTAAAGATGCATTATGCAAGAGCTAAATCTGCCTATTGCAGGTTGTTTCTGAGAACATGCGCTGTTTGGGTTAGTACCCTGACATAGATTAGGACTTTTTATGCTGGGGGTGCGTAGCTCTAATACGGCGAAGCACAGCACTCTCACAAACGGATTAGAACATCCAAGGTTGGAGTAAAGATTAACTTATCCAATTCAAAGCAATTAGTCAATTTAGATAAATAATTACATGTATACACTTCAAATGTTATATAAACTATTATTTGGACATTCATTCACATGACAAGCCCATAATCAACTCTCTAGACCATCGGATCGCCTAGATATTGAATGGATTAAAACATTCGCTTCATATAATATTTTAACACCAGAATGGATAATCGAGAATTTATTATCGAGGCAACGATACTTGACATTGACAAAATTACATTTATCTCATAATGTTACTCAGAATCGGTTAATTTGACGGAAATTTTCAATATATTCATTTTTCATTATCTATTATAACAAGAACGACAAGCACTATATCTAACTCTTACATACCGTATCTTTAAACATAACAAGAGATGAGAATAGATAGACTAGAAATAGGTTTAGATTTTATCTAGAGAACAATATTTCTCACTAATAATAACAATCCGTCAAGATCTGCATTCGGCTTACATCTGTTTTTTGCTACTCAAGTGGATTTCCTATTAACCTTATTATAACTACCACAATAAGTAGAAGTTATCAATCCAATCTCCCGCCTTCATTAGAGCCGTCGGTGTAGAACAGTAGGATGTTAAACCCCATTTCATTTCAGTTCAATTCATTTGATCTTATTTCAATCCAATCTGAACGCTAAAATGGGAGCTTAACAAAGCCAAGAGTGAGCTGTAAGCCTTTCATAATGAAACCAAGATGCCTACTTGTGGGAGAGAATGTCCGCCCATCGAGAGGGTCACCAAGGTGGTACCACAGAGAAGGCGAGAAGGCCGTACGATAATATACGTCTATCGGGAAGGACAGAAATGAAATGAAATGAAATGGGACCTCGGTTTCTCGTCCCATCCGAACGAAAAATCATGGACTTAATCCGTTCTTCAACTACAAGTCAACGTTCCAGAATATCATATTTTATGATATTCTCGAACAATGATTAGATTACCCCATAGAAATATATACTGACTATTTCTATGGTTAAACAAAGTTTATAAAAATCTTAGTTTAAAATTTAGTCAGTTTTCCATAATATGACTGGTCAGAAAATCGGAGATTAAATCTATGATTAGCACTAATCTACTTCGGAAATATGGGCCCTAGTGATCTTCTAGTTCAGTTTTGTTGTTGAGCTTCAATGTTGTTTTGATGCATCGATCAAACCAAGAGGCATTTTGTATTCACAAACCGTAAATTATATTTAATGAAATGAATAAAATGAAGAAAAAGAGCAAATGTCACTAAGTTGATATACATTGGAATAAATTATTCAGTATTACAGGCGTTGTAACCTCTTCGATACAGGCCAACATGAAGTTATATGGCAGAATTTAAGAGATTTAGGAGCAGAACAGTAGGACGTTAAACTCCATTTCATTTCATTTCATTTAAGAGATTTAAGTGGAGCTATACATGATGTGTAGGAGCTGGCCCGATCCCAGTGATGGACTGAAATATGGTTTAACGTCCTCCTGTTCTGCTCCGAACTGGGCTAATGAAGACGGGCATATGCCATACAGTGTGCTATGAGGGAAATTTTGCCCGGGTAGTGGCACTATGGTCTACTACTATGAAATAGACAGAAAACAAGCTAACATAAAGTGCTTTTTCATACAATCAGGGGTCATAATCCAGGAAGTTACGGTCCGATATGTGCGAACATCGATAGGAAGAGAAGTTTGGGTTATAAGCATCCATTTCAAGAGAGAGAGAGAGAGAGAGGGGGGGGGGCTTTCCCGTTTGGATTCCCCTCTCGTCAGTGGTGAGGGACAAGGGGTCTGGCAAGAAAACACGAACAGATCCCGGCGTCCTGGTTAGTAAGCAAATGCCTTAATGAGTCTCCCCAACTGCTCCCTTGCCTCTTCGCCGCTAAAAATTTTCAGTTTATGCTGTTCAATTTTATTTCAATAATTCGCTTGCGCGTGAGGGTTTTTTTAGTAGTGGGAAGAAACCGGCGGATCTGGGAAAAACCCATGAGGTTGGACAGGCGACACTACTCCTTGTCACGTACGGGCGGGGAATCGAAACCACGGCACTTGACTAAATGACAGACCTTATGATGCAACGTGCACGCGTTAAACCATTCGGCCAGAAAACGTCTCACTTATAAAATAGAAGAAGAGTGATCTATAATACCCACTGATGTGCGAAATCGTTTTAAATGCCTCGCATAAACCGTTTCTCGTCACTAATAGAAATAACATAGCAGATCAAACTAAATCAACACATCATGCACCCCCCCACACACACACACACCCTCTCTCCCCCATTGTAATT